TTCTTTCTTTCTTTCTTTCTTTCTTTCTTTCTTTCTTTCTTTCTTTCCTTCCTTCCTTCCTTCCTTCCTTCCTTCCTTCCTTCCTTCCTTCCTTCCTTCCTTCCTTCCTTCCTTCATCTTAGATTAAGGTTGTGCTTATGCTGTTTAAGATGGAATTTCTGGGGGGTGACAACCACACACTTCACCTATGAAATGCTGATTTCAAAAGCAGCTGTGCCCTTTGGTCATCTTACAGCCACATTTGAGGCTCAGTGTTCTTGCCAGCACTCGGTACTGTCATTCTTTCAGATTTAGTCCCTACAGTGACTGAGAATTATTCAACCACTTTGGTTATAATCTGTGTTCCCTGGGTGCCTTCTGTGCTTACTATTTACACAAACACTCCTTTTTATTGGTTGGAGCAGTCTGAAGATGGAGGGAGGGGAGAATACGCATTGTGGACATTTCTTCTCAGGCTATGCCTGGCCCATTTTTGTGTGTTTTTATTTTGAAAAAGAATGTATTTTTATTCTATGTGTATGGGTGTTTTTCCTGCATTCATGTCTGTGTGCAGTGCCAATAGAAACCAGTACAGGATGTTGGATCCTCTAGAACTGGAATTAGTAGAAAGTTGTCATCAACCATGTGGGTACTAGGAATTGAACTCAGAGCCTCCAGAAGAACAGCCAATGCTCTTAACCATTGAGCCACCTCTTGAGCTCCCTTCTGTCTTTAATTTTTTGGGGGGAGGGTGAAGTATTTTATCTTCCCCAACTATATGTTGCTAGTATGTAAAAACTGAGGTATTTGTCCTTATAATCTTTTTTGCTTGGCCTTAGTAAATCCAGTAGTTCTCATGAAAAAACAAATTCATGGAAGTGTCGTGTGTCCTTCTAAGAGAAACAGCAGCATAGGCTGCTGATGTTGACCCTCTTCTTTGGCTAGGCTGGTGTCTGCATCATCTCCATAGTGAAGTGGTGACTTTCCTCTTTGGGGAAGGGGGCACTTTGAGATTACACAGCTCTCAACCCCCATTGAAGCTTTTGCTTCCACAGCCATTGTTATGATGGGGTTTGCCTGAGGATGTCCATCTTCCTCTGTTTTTCCACATCCATTCATCAGGATTCTGTAAGGATGAGCCCTCACACCATTCACTCAGTGGTGTGCTTATGCCCATGTGGGCTCCTTTGTGCTCACGGTTTTCCCTCTGGATCCGTAAGATCCAGTTGTAAGGAAACTTCTTAACTGGTGATCAAAGGAGGAGGGCTCAGCCCATTGTGGGTCACCTGGGCTGACAGTCCTGGGTTCTATAAGAAAGCAGGAGGAGCAAGCCTTGGGAAGCAAGCAAGTACTACTTAGCACTCCTCCATGGCCTCTGCATCAGCTCCTGCCTCTGGGTGCCTGCCTTACTCGAGTTCTTGTCCTGACTTCCTTTGGTGATGGACAGCAATGTGGTAGCATAAGCCAAATAAACCCCTTTGTCCCCAACTTGCCTTTTGGTCATGATGTTTTGTGGTAGCAATAGAAACCCTAGGACTCTCACCATCCTCTGCCTTGGGTTCCAAAGAGTGCACCACCATGAAGAGCTCTCGATTTAAAACTACCCTTCAGCTGCTAGTGTCCTGATTACTTCAAAAATTAAGATTATTTTCATTTGTGTGTATGTGTGTGCCTGCCTGTATGACTTAGCACCCATGGAGGCCAAAAGAGGGCATCAGATCCCCTGGAGCTGGAGTTACAGGTGATTATGAGCTGTCTGATGTGGATGCTGGGAACTGAACCTGGGTCCTCTGCAAGAGCAGCAAGCTCTCATAAATGCTGAGCTGTCTCACCACCCAACTCCTGACTGTGTTTAATATACATACATGGTGCTATATTTTGTCACCATCTTTTCTTCAGTATCCATGGAGATATAGGTTCTTGTTAATCTATGAATAATGCATAATAATCTATGAATAGTGCAAACTATTAATGGAGCTCCTAACAGTAAACCAACTTTGAATTATTCCCACAAAGATTCTTCTTGGCCAAGATATAGAAATCATCTTATTCCCATGCTTTCTCAGTGTTTACTACAGTAGTTTTCTCTTAGTTTTGCTTCTATCCTTCTCATCTTGTATCTTCCTCCAGTTCAGTGCCAGCCTCCCCCCCCCCCACGCCCAGCTCTCATATTCAAATATGCTTATCAGAGTGGTAGTATTAAGGTTGGGCTTTAAAGAGGCAATTTAAGTCTTTAAAAGATGATTAGGTCAAAAGGGATTAATGTCTGTCTCAGGGGACTGGATTAGTTCTTTTGAGAATCGGAGTGGTTCTCTTAGGGCAGACTGTTAGAGAGGACCAACTCCTTTGTGCCTGCCCTCTTTTCTGTGGACCTATCCCCACTCTCTATGGGCTCCTGCCAGGTGATGCCTCGGTTATGTGATGGTGTGGGACACCCCCCAACACACACGCACACAGGATCTAACCAACAAACTTTCCTTTCTCCAGAAACTATCGCTAAAGAAACCCCATATCTTATAAATTACCCAACTTAGGTGTTCTGCTATAGGAAAAGAAAATGGTGACAGTCGGACAGTGTGGACTTGAAAGTTTTTCATATTTTACAGCTGATTTGTAGAGGAGCATGATTCTTTACTAGGTCGTGGGAAATTACTATTCCTAACTTTTGTAATAGTGGTATATAGCCTTTCTTCTCTCTCTCTCTTTCTTCTTCCCTCTTTCTTTCTCTCTCTATATGTATGTATGTATGTGTATATACATATATGTCTGTATACACACATATAATGTATATGGGCTTGCCTGATTAAGTTTATAAGTACCTTGTAAGTACAGCAGTTCTCAGGGGCCAGAAGATGGTATCAAATTTCCTGCAACTGACATGTTTGTGAGTTAGTGTGTGTGTTTGTGTGAGTATTGCATCGTATGCGTGAGAGTCTTGTATGCTTTGTGTGTGTATGGTGTGTGCTTGTGCATATGGAGGCCTGAGGTCAATGTTGGTTGTCTTTTCTCTTCACCTTTATTTTTAGAGATAGGGTCTGTCACTGAACCCCAAACCCATTGGTTTGGCTAGGCCTTCCAGCCAATGAGTTCATGCATCTGCTTGTCTTCGCTCTGCTCCATCCAAGGCTGCAGTTATAGTGTGCAGCTTTTACCATGGGTCCTGGGGATCCAAACTCAGCTCTTCATGCTTTGATGGCAAGTGCTTTAGCAATTGAGCTAGCCCAAAAAGTTTAAAATAAAGAAACCGCTTCATTAAAAGACACAGCGCTATCCAGTTTTCCAGTTTTCTTCTATGTCAGTCTGCACACTCTGCCCTTTAAAATACATTTACCCTTAAAAATATGTGATCAAGTATAGGCCGAAGCTATTCACAGTAGCTCTGCCTCTTAGTTCACTGTTCCAACAAAATTAAAACGTTATTATTGTGTGTGTGCATGCGCATGTTACCTGTGTAAGAACACCTGCAGTGGTGAGAGAACATCTTTTTGGGGTCAGTTCTCTCTCGCCTTTTTGTGGGTTCTGGGGATCAGGCTTGTGCAGTCAGTGCCTTTATCCTTTGAGCCATCTTGCTGGCCCCCTTTCACCGTTGATATTAGTTGTGGTGGTTTGGATGTGAACTGTCTCACAGGGACTTAGGAATTTGAACAGTTGTTTTGCAGTTGGTGGTGTTCTTAGAGGAGCTCATGAAACATTTAGGAGGTACAGCCTTGCTGGAGGGAGTATGTTACTGAGGGCAAGAACTGAGCATCTATAGCCTTGCCCCACTTCCTGCTGGCTTTCTCCGCTTTTTGAATGTAGTTGAAATATGATCTCTCAGCTTCCTGCTTCCGGTATCATGTCATGCCTTCCTGCCATGTTGGATTTTCTATCTTCAGAAACTGAAGGCCAAATGAACTCTTCCAAAAGTTGTTTTAGTTATGGCAATTTTATGGCAGCAACAGAAAAGCTACTCATACATTAGCAATTCGTATTTTCCCTTGGTAGTTTGCCAAGGAATTATGCCCTTTATTCATCTTTTCTAGTAGAGCTTTTGGCTTTCAAAATATTCTCTATTAAATGTATGAATTCTCTGTATTACCTCTCTGGTCCTCCTTATCTTAGGTTTAATTGTGTCCCCATGTGCAGCCTGTTCTGGAAAACATTTCATGTTTACTTGGAGAGAATTTTTCTCTGAGGCAGTTTGCTGTATGACGCCCCTGCAGTGGACAGAGGACATAAGGGCACTATGAGGTGGTGTATATGGCAGTGTTCGCCTCTGATGTCACCTACTTTGGCTCTGACCCAGCCTCCATGAGGAGCATCTCTATCTTCAGTACTCAGAGTCTGCAACACTTTTCATTACAGTGTATGTTTCCAGAATCCATGTACCATGTGAATCAAAAAGGCGTCGTCATGGTGAACCCTCACCCTGCTCACAGTACATGAGCATATCAACATGTGATACAAACATCCCAACTATTCTTCGGGCTGCGGCACTGGGAGGATTCGATAGTAGGAGGGGAGGGGAGGCAGGTTCCCCAAGCACAGCAGCAGCATGTGCAAAGGGTCTGTGGTGGAGTGTGGTGCAGAAGTGAGATAGACCACTGAGGTTGAACAGAGTGGGCTAGTGGCAGTGAAGTGGGCGGGATGGCCTCAGCAGCCCAGGGCCGTTCAGGCTATGCTCACTTTGTAAACACAGCTTGGGGCTGAGTACAGAAAGAAGCAAGTCCAAGGTGAATGGAGATGGGGGACAGGAGACAGGGTAGCTTTGAAAGTAAATGGTTTTGGCTTCCCAATGAGGACGGTTAGAGTTTTCCCTGCAGGTGGTGGGCTGTGGCCACATTTTTAGAAGCAAACTGAGGACAAAGACTACAAGGGCCACATTATCCCCACCCCTAGACTTCCCCCATAAGCATGGGCTTTCCACACCCCAGCTCTGTAGACTTACCTGACTCTGCCACCTCAGCGATAGGCACTCCCTGCTCATACGCCATGAAGCCCAGGACTGAGAAGATGGCGAATCCAGCCACAAAGCTGGTGCCGCTGTTCAGACAGCAGAGCATAATACAGTCCCTATGGAAAAGCAATGAGAGGAGCCTGGGTCAGAGTGGGCAGAATAGGTACCTGCTAGAACCTTCCTCATCTGAGACCAGGGCACACTGGAGGCCAGCAGAGAAGCATGGCCACGGACAGCTTCCTGTTTTCCAGATGAAGTTCTTGTAGTTCGGGGAGGGTGGATAGCTGGCTCACAGTCACACAGCTTTTCCTGCATTGCTAGAAGACAAGGTGGGGTGCAGGGAGAGGGAAGTGACCGAAGGATGAGAGCCTGGCTTTATAGATCAAGAGAGGGAAGACTCGGGAGACAAACACCACTCTGACTCCTGAAGAGAGGAAGCCAGAGATAGTAGAAGGGGAACTGTGATCCCAAGGCACAAAGGTCAGAGGGTGGAAGAAACCTCTGTGTAAGAAGCCAGGTGAGTGACTGATGATCTCAGGCCTGCAGCTCCAGTAGCTTCTAGGGGAGAGGTTTCGTGGCAGCACCCATGCTAGCTGAGCTCATTACCGAGCATTCTGCTCTATGCAGGCTCTGCTCATTGGACCAGCTCATGGAAGAGACTGATCAGTTACTTTGACTGCCTCTTGAGGGGGATTCATCAACATCGAGGCACCGATGTAAAGCCGGATCAGTGACGGAGCTTTATCAAGATAAGAATGATGTCCCAGAGCCTTGGTTCATCCTACCACAGGCTCTAGAATTCAGCCTCTGCAGTGCAGGCTCATGACTCAGATCACGGTGCAAGTCAGTGCCTTGTTCTTGTATGGGAGGTGTACTTGGGTGATCCTGGCCCAGAGTGGAGCGACATTGTGGCCTTTGCTTCTGGCCCAGGAGCTAGAGCTTGCTGCCCCCTTCAACAGTCCCCTTCCTGTTGGATGACGCCTCCTGCTGACAGCACAGAGAATCTCCTTGTATTCCACTAGGCAAAATCTACCTTAAGCACCACCAGGCTCAGGGGTGGGGCTTGAGGCTGGGGTCGTCTGGAGGTTGAGCCTCCCAGCTCCTTCAGCCTCATGCTTTCTCAGCTTACATCTCAGCTCTCCTACCACTCTTCCATCCTGTCCCCCATCTGTAGAGCACACTGGCTTGCCCAGGACCTCTACAGCTGTCACATGCAGGTTTGAGAACTTTTCTCTCTTCTTCTTTCACCATGCTTTTTCTGTGATAGAATCAAAGGTAATACTAATGCTGGTGGCAAACCAACAATGACCCTAGTAATGTGGGCACAGTGGAGAGAACACTAGACAAGGAGTCAGGAGCCTGGGGCTATAATTCTCCTGCAAGGTCTTTTCTTTGGGACCGACCTAATGATGATAAGGCATTTGGTAGCAGGGCCTCGTGGGTTGTTTCTAATCCTCCCGTTTGGGGGTGGAATGAAACCCCAGGTCAATTGGTTTGGACTTAGCCATGTGACCTAGTTTTGGACAGTCAGATGTTAGCTGACATGGCACACATTTGACTTGTATCTTCCCCCACTTGGAGGTGGAATGGAACCCCCAGGGTTTCAACTGCTCTGGGCTTAGCCATGTGATCTAGTTTTGGACAGTAAGACATTAGTTGACATAGCAGACATTTGACTTGTATCTTCTTCACTGGACTTGTCTATCATTTTTGTGATTTTTTTTTTGCTGGGAAGAACACCCCAGGGAGTGACTGTCCCTTCAGCCTGGACCATAGGATGCACACATAAAGAGCACATCTGAGCGTGGCCTGAAGCCAAACCCACCCTCTCATAGCCAGGACAGTTTCCCCAGCCAACCTCAACCCACGAATATGATCTCAGATGCTTGGCCCCTGAGGCCAAGGCTATTTGTCAAGAACATTACCATGGTACAGTTGACTGATATGGGTCCCTTTAAAGACGTCTTTTGACAGTGAAGGCCAGCTGGCTAATTATACTATATAAATCTTGAATTGCCTCTACTCTGGAAGAAACTCAGGAAGGTCCAGGAGAGGACCACATTATTCCTGAGGCAACAGGAACAGGCTTACACATTAGCTAGTGTCTTAGTGTCTAAAATCTAGTCTTGGCTTCCCTTTGCACTTTCTCAGGTCTAAAAACAAAAATCCCTGACTTACCCGCTTGTGGGAATAGGAGGATCTGGAGAGGAGGAACTTTCTTCATGGGATTCTCCTGACACATTTTAGGCGCTACCATGTGCCAGTCCTGGGTTAGCACCCCCCCCCCCCCATCATCAGTTATCAGCACAACTGTAGCTGGAAATCTAGTCTTCTCAGATGCACTTTCTGGGGCTAAACAACATATCCTAAGAATCAAGGCTTCCAAGACCTACTGTGGGCCATCATGAGGCTAGGGAAGGCATATGTCCCTGTCAGCAAATCCCATCTCTCCAGTAGGCCTCTCAGATAATTTTCTTGTAATTGAGTTCTTAGGAACTTCTGGCCCCATCAGCACTGTATCTGGATGCTGGCTTCCACCTGTGAGCGTACTCAGCCACAGGAGGCTGAGCCCTGCCTGGCCAGGGCTGCTCTATCCCCCTCATGCCTTTCCCTACAGCTCCCTGCAATCTCTGGGGAAGGCTTATGTAACCAGGGCTTTGAAGTCAGCAGGAGCTGAGCTGGGCTTGCATGAGCTCCAAAGGCGACTAAGCTGTCAGAAGAGGGGATTAATTGACTGCTGGGCAGACCTGTTTGCGGAACAATCTGGAAACAGATTTTTGCAGGCATCTGCTTTGTTCTACTGAGCAACAGAGAGAGGAGGGAGAATCCTGCCTGCTGAGTTCCTAGCTGCAGTGGATTGCAGGACCCTCTCCTAGACCTACACCCATGCTGTTTATTTTCAGATCAGCTGCTAGGTTGCCGGTAGAGAAAATCATCCACATTTAACTTTACATAATATGGTCCAAGCCCCCAAACATATTACATGTTACTATTGCGCCTTCTAATTGAATAAATAATTTGTATATTTTATTTGGAGTTAAATAATACACAAACGATATCTGTACTAATTTGACTTTCCTTGCTGGGATAGACCTGGGGAAGGAATAAGACAAGGTCTCACTGTGTCTTAGGCTACCCCAGAGCTCACTGTGTAGCCTAGGTTAGCCTCAAACTCACAGCAATGCTCCTTCAGCCTCCTGCATGCTAATGTTATATGCCAATATGCCTGACTGCCCTGACTCTTTTTTTTTTTTTTCATCATAAAAGCAGTATGAACCCAGAATAAATGAAGATACCTTCAATGTATAGGAATCAAGGGAGGGAAAACCAGGCCCAGCTGCCTGATGTAATATTTTGATTAGTCTTCTCTTTCCTTCCAGAAGTTTGACTCACTGTACATATTCTGGTGGACCTGCCAGTTACTGCTCCCTCCTCTATGGACTCAATTTTAGTTTTCTACCATCTTTTTACATTTCCAAATTAGTATTTAATTCCTTACTCTAGGATAGTCCCCCTTTGTGGCTAACTGGTATACGGTGGAGACAGGTGTGGTGTCCTTTTTCAGTTGGTCTGTTTTCATGGCACCCCATCACAATCCCAAAGTCTCCTTCCTCCAGAAGGATCTCCCAGGCTCCCACAGTGTGATGCTCTGTCCACCCATCATCGACTATCCACCTGCTGGGTGCCAGGTGCTGGGCTCTTAGGTCTGCGGATTTCAACATACACTGCCATCTCAGTCAGGGACCCCTGAGTGAGCTTATCCCTGTCACCCACCACTGCTGACTGTCCCTGGCCCTCTGTGGTCCTCAGCCTCATGGTGACACTCAGGCTGCAGGCCTGCAAGGCTGATCCGCAGCCTTAGTCACCCCCTACCCCCATCTGGATTCCTTGTGGCTCTGCATGTGGCCAGCTGCAGGGGGTCAGAAGGAGAGTGGGCCAAGGAGGGTCCAGCCAATCCAGGTGGATCAGGAGAGGGTCCCCTGGACCAGTGAGAAGCAACAGGGGGCAGAAACAAGGTCCATGGGCAACTTACTGTGTATATACCTATGCTGCCCATGGTGGCACTGGGTCCTGACTGAGACGGTGGGGGGGATCTGCTGTGCCTTCCGGGCAGACCCTGCTTGCCTGTGTCAAAGCTCTGTTCCTGCGATCCTGGGGCAAGGGCAGGCCTGACAAGCAGCTCTCTGCTGTGTTCTGTGTGTTCTGTGTGCACTGTGGGCCGCTGTGAGGCTCTACAGGCCGTGGCTGTCTGTCCATAGGCCCGGCTCACCTGTAGCAGTTGTTGTTGTAGCTGTTGTAACTTCCCAGAGCGGTCAGGCAGCCCAGGCAGATGGCATAGGAGAAAAAGATCTGCGTCCCAGCGTCCACCCACACCTGGAGGAAGGCACAAAAATGTGGGCGTTGAGAGTCAGATAAGGGAGGAGGGAGAGTCAGACGTAGGAGAGAGAGTCCACTGGGGAGGAAGAAGCTTAATCTTTGGACACTCCCCCCAAAGACACTCTAGGACAGGAATATCAACCCCCCTGACTTTCTTGAGGACCCCTGTTAAAACATTTATATTTCTGGGACCAGGAATTTCCTTAATAAATTCTAGATTTTTTTCCAAGGGTTGTGGATAATAGTCTATTACATAACAAGAATTTGGCTACTGAGCTGGGCCTGTGGGTACAAGCCTGTAAGCCTAGCCCTAAGAAGGCAGAATCTCTGCAAGTTCAAGGTCAGCCTATCTACTTAGTGACAAGGCTGGCCAGAGCTAGATAGCAAGACCTTGTTCTCAAAAAAATAAAAATAAATAATATAAGCAAGTAAAACGAGGCATAGCAGTGCACACCTTTAATCCCGGACTTGGGAGGTGGAGGCAGGCAGATCTCTGTGAGTTCAAGGCCAGCCTGGACTGTATAGTGAATTCTAGGACAGCCAGAGCTACGTAGTGAAATCCTATCTCCAAACAAACAAGCAAACAAACAAATAAAACGGTATTTGGATATTAAGAACCCCGGCTCCAGCTGTATGACTTTGGAAAGTGACATCTCTGACATTTCCCCATCCGCAAAGTAGGAAATGAAGAAATGAAGGAGCCTGTCAGGCTTGCTATGAGGATGAATGTATCAGGAGTGTGAGCCCTGAGCATGGAGCCTGCTTCCATGCCACATGATACTTAAATCCAAAAGAACAACCCCCCCCCCACACACACACACACACTTTTTTTGGCAATTGAAATCACCTCGAGGACGATGTCCCATGACTGTACAGAGAAAATGTTGACATAGCTGCCCCAAGCCCGGAGGAGGTTTGTGTGTGTGTGTGTGTGTGTGTGTGTGTGTGTGTGTGTGTTTGTGTGTGTGTGTGTGTGTGTGTGTGTGTGTGTGTGTGTGTGCGTGCACGTGTGCACGTGAACACGCATTGATACATGCGTGCATGCATGCATGGACGTGTTCCGGTCTACTAGCTTACGAAAACAGATTCCCTAAAGCCAGCCTCCCTGGGGTACAGACAGCCAGCAGCTTCTTAGTCACTAAAGTCCCCTCTGATTAAAACTCCTGTGGACAGCATGACCTACACCGTGGTAATCACACTGACTTTTCAAGCACCCTCCCTCCCCCAGGCTCTAGCTCAGCACCCAGAAGTCTCTAAGGAAAACCACAGCTGACACACGAGCTGGGATTTGGGCTGAGCATCCAGCGCCACCTGGAGACGAGGCTCAGCACTGAGCACAGCCAGCAGCAGCCTCTATTAGGCACTTTCGGTATGGAGGCACCTTGCTGAGCACCTGCTCAGGACTGCCTTTGAATGTCAGCAGCCCTGGCCAGCCCTGGCCAGCCCTGGGCTGAGTGCAGGGGGTGCTCTTAGCCTCCTCCATGGCCAAGGAACAAAGAGGGCAAGACCACACAGCTGGGACGTGATGTGTGCAAACACACACACTCCCACTTCAAGAGACAGCATTGCCAGCCTCATGCAGATTTAGAACCATCCTGAGATAGCGTTGCATCACCAGGATTTAGGGGCTGCTAAGTCCTTCTGATGGACATCTGCCTGGCTGCTGTCGGTGACAGGGAAGTGACATGTGTCTTTAGAAACCTCTGACTAGTAAAGTCGTTTTCTAAAGTGAGAACTCTCCCTTTTGATTCTGTCTCCCACACCACAGCTTTCTCTTCCACATGGCAGTACTTTCCCACAGCCTCCTAGCTCCCCAGCCATCCCTGTTCCAGGCACTATCCCTTCTCGAGGATTTGCTCACACAGAACAGGCTACACTGCCTGGGTCTTCTCATCTTTGTGAAACCATCCAATGGAAACATATGAGGAGTGCTTCTGACCTGGACAGGAGTGTCTGCTAACCTCTCTTATCCTAGGCAGCTAGGAAAAACACAGGGTAAACACTTTCATGGTGTGTGTGTGTGTGTGTGTGTGTGTGTGTTGCTAGCAGATCAAAATGTACTGAGACATGGGTATTGGGAAATGGAGAGAAAACAAGAATACTTGAAAAAAAAGCCATAGAAACCTTACTATTTTGTGTTTACTTAAAACTATATACACACACAGTGTTTAATTGAAGTTATGCCACTTGGGTTAATCTCTCAATAGCTGTTAGACTATCTAATAAAAACCCTAGTGCCAGACATGGGAAACCTGTTTTTGTACTGTGGGTCAGATGGGCCCAAGAAACTTCCCAAATAACATAGGGTATTGCCGTAGCCCTTGGTGCCTTCTAGAAGGTCCTCATTGCTAAGGTGTCCTCATTGCTAAGGATACCACATAATTTGGACACAGGAGGAATCCATATGGATCTGACCTGGATGACTCCTCCCTGAGGATCAGCTTTCATAGTATCAGAATGAGCCATGCAAGCTGCCAAGGAGAAAGCAATCAATAGTCCTACCCAGCTGTACCACCTTTGAGCAGATGACAGGAGCTTCTGGAAGATGCAATAATGACTTATATATCCTGGGATAACCAACAGCTGTCTAATTGCTCTTAAGGCCTGCTCAGTGGGAGAGCATTCATGCCTGGCACTGCAAAACTAGCCAGCTATCTGCCTGGTGAGGCCATAGGACCCTAGAGGAGAGCCTGCTACAGCCAGTATAAAGCAGGGTGATTCATAACTCAAATACATAATCCTTGCACCCACAGATAAGTGCAGCTCTCACCCATCATTAGAGAAGCTTCTGCTTGCAGCATAGCCCATCACAGAAAGGCGTAACTAATCAGAATAGAGAGAACAACTGACTATGGGACCAACCGGCCATGGCTATAGCTATAACACATCCCTACACCTAAGGCTCAGGGAATGTCTTGGAAGAGGGCATGGAAAAATTGTAAAAGCCAGAGCACCAGACATTTGCTCTAAGATAGTGTCTTCTAAAAAAAAGAAAAAAGAAAACAAAACACAAAGTGAAGGTTGGGGTTGGGGAAAGAAAGAGATGGGTATAATTAAAACCCATTGCATGAAGTTCTCTAAGAATAAAAATATATTAAAAATAATACCCCACCACCACCACAAAGTTCAAGAATCACTGTTGGGAATGGAGAGTCAGAGAGGGTGGCAGTGAAAAGGAAAATCCAAACTCAAGGGGGGATTTCCAAAACGGTAGGAGCTTGAAAATGCCTACGCATTGGCAGAAAGGGTCCGATGATTTAAAATTTGCTGAAGACTGAGAGATGAATACACTGTTAGATTCTGCATCCTGTCTTGGTCTCCCATGTGCCCACCTCTCCCTGAGAATTCCTCTTTGTATACAGAAAAGCAAGCAGACCTCAGGGAGATGCAGAACACAGCCAGTTGCTCACTTGGGAACAGAATTCCCACTCCCAGCGGCCCCCTGTGAGATGCTTGGTGGCCGACTGATCACTGGTGACTGTTCACAAGGGACTCACACCTGTGGCTAGTGGCCCTGCAAGCTCAGCCTCCTGCAGGCCAGAGGGGGAGAAGCCCCTGGGCTGGTGAGAAAGCCTGCTCAACAACCGTTCAACAGAGCCCCACCACAGTCCTCAACAACTGAGTCAGAAAAGATCACAGAGCTCCTGCCCATACACTCCAATGATGCACATCACCAAACCCATGCATGGATTTTCACTTGTAGACAGCTTTCCTGGGAGCTCAGCATCCATTTCTTCCTTTTGAGTAGTGGGACCTCAGAATCTCTCTGGGAACCTACTCTTCCCCAACGTAGGGTGGGTCCATATCATAAGACTGACCATGCTAGTTTTTCCACGAATGTGCAAGACTTTAAATTTATGGCCTGGAAAAACAGTTAAAGGCTGCCAGCAGAGCTTAATGAGCTATCCTTGAAGGTGCTGGGAAGACAGCAGTATCAATATCTACGTGGACTGTGGAGGCCCAGCCTAAGAGATTTGATGGGGGAACAATATTAGCATCTGGGCTAGAGACCATTTTTATGCTATTTTGGCAAAAATCTGTTTGCTTTCTGCCCTTGTCCTAAGAACTTACCTGAGGCTAAATTTGAAAGCAACTGGCTAAATTTTTTTTTTGAAGGAAGACATTTAAAAACAGTCTAAAATGTACTCTGTCATGTGGTCATCAGTAATTAGTAATTAGCAGGTTACAGTGAAAAAAAGACAACGGGGTAGGAAAAAAATGTATAGTACGGAGAGGAAAAGGACCCTGGCAAGCTTGATGTGACACCCAAGGCGTATGCTGGAAGATAGGCAGTGACTGTGAGATTAACTATTAAGGACTATTAAGAACTATTAAGGAGAGGCCAGCCCTGCATGGGAATAAAGGAAGGATGCCTTCAGCAGTGCAAAGCTTGCCCAAAGAGCACAGGGCTCTAGGTTCAATCCCCAGCACTGCAAAAACAAAACAAACAAATCCAGAAGACAGGGGTTTGAAAGCTTTTATCACAAAAAGATGATACCTATATTCAAGGAGACAGAGATCTTTGACCCGATTTAGACAGTATGTAATTTACATATACACTGAAATGCTTAATATACAGAACACCCCATCAGTATACATAACGTTTATATTTCATGTATCAGTTTTAAAAACTCATTTTGTTTATTTTTGTGGTACGGTCTCATGTAGCCCAGTCTGGCCTCGAACACCTTATCTAGCAGAGGATAACTTCAAGCCCCATGACCTTCCTGCTTCCACCTTCCAAGTGCTGTGGTTACAGGCACCCAGCACATGCAGAGCTGGAATCAAACCCAGGCCTTCCTGCATGTTAGGCAAGCGCTCTCCCAGCTGAGCCACATTCCCAGTGCCAGGCAAAAATAAATTTAACAAGATGTAAGCTGTCCCCTGGAAGGAGGAAGACAGCTCCTTCATTACTGCTTTAGATGCTTCTTTTCAGGGACTTGTACTTGGATTGGGCTTTCTTTGCATCTTATTTTTACTTGTTGATTTTTCTCACA